ACTATACACAGGGTATAGAAGTGCCCTCATGAATAGTGTGGGCAGTGGTAAAATAACAAGCTGCTACTCTAATGCAAATTGCTGCTTAACATAGTCCTCTCCATATTTAACTATGCTGAGGTGTGAGACTCTTTAAGTGTACTTGTTGAGAGAGAAGTAACATTAATGATGAAGATACTAATATTTTCCATATTAATCAATTTCTCCTTCTTAGCTGCCACTGCAGCAAAGGTGAAGAATGCAGGTGAAGGAATCCATGTGGTGAACTGCTGTAGGATAAACTTACACACTGCTGATATTTTCAGATTGGACTGGAAGTCTAAAACAGGAGAATTGCCCTGCTCTGTGAAGTTAGAACTTGGCGAGGGCAAGAGAAGCTTGTGACCTGAGCAGACATGCTTCAAGCACTCCGAGCCACTTCCTTGAGAGCCTAAGTGTGGTTGGAGTTAGTGAAACTTAGTGTCTTGTGAAAAATGCTGCATTCATAACTGCAGTGTGTTATGGCTGACAGCAAAAAAACTATCACTGATACACTGAAAAAAAAATGTGCTGAGAAGCTGGGTTGATGTCTTGCTGATGGAGACAGCCTGAATGCATTCTAAGGGGACTGTAGTACTTACCTTGGATGAGCTTCTGGTGGCCACAAAGCTAGATCTGACAGCAGCCAGATGCGATAAAAACTAAATGGCTCAGATATATCTCAGAGTTCAAAACCAACATGGGCTTGTAGGGAAGATTGGTGGTGTCAGTGGATCCCTTCCTGTGAGCTGCTTGTGGCTTGCATACCCTTGAACAAAGCAGTTGGTAAACAGACACTGATGTCTGGGTTTGTCTGGTCTGGTACCCATCAGGCTTCCTCAGCCTGAAGAAATTTAGGCATTTGGGTGCATTCGGTGGTTCTAAGTGCCTTGTTCTCTCCTGTGACCAGCTGGGATGATGCCAGTGACTGGGGCCATAATCCTGCTCACCTCAATGAGGCATGCACTGAATCCAGTGCTTGGCAGGGTCCCTATTTGTATCCTTTGTTTGGCCTGTGAGCAGTATTTCAAGGGCTAACTGCAGATCTTTCTCCAAAAGCCATGGGACATGGAACTTCAGTACCAGCCAGATCAGTTACATGACTAGCCATGAAAAATACACCAGGTGCCACCTCATGGAGACTGGGTAGCTTTTTCATATGCAGGGCATCACTAGGCCCGGGAGGTATGGGGCTGGAGAAGCATTCAGATGGACTGCCCTCTGGTAAACCTGGGACCCTCTGCACTCTTGGCTTGTGGCTGCTGGTGGACACTGGGGAGCAGAGACAAGGAGGAGCTTGTGGCTGACACTTTGTAGGAGATTTGGTATAAAGTTACAAACTCATGGGGCTTTACAGTGTCTCAGGGGTGAGATAAAGCAAAGGAGATTTTGCAGCAACATAAGAACTGTTGACACCGCAAGATTGGAAGGCAGCTCTCCTGGGCTAATGGCAGACTCGGAGCTGCTCTAGGAGGCGTCTATCACTGGATGTATGGGGCAAAACTGACAGGGAGTAAAGTAAGACATGGGATTAGTAGGTGCAGATGGCATTTGCAGGGAAGTAGCTTTTATACAGTGCCCGTGCTTGCAGCCACAGGTTCCCCGCGGTGCTGGCAGTGGGGCCATCCAGCCAGAGGCCTG